AGATCACCCTCTCCAACCTTTCATATTAAGTCAAATAAAATCAAAAGAATTTACTGAAGTGCCTACTTTCTGTCAGGCACAATGACAAGGCTCAGAAAGACTAAGTGTTACACAAATGTCTCCAAAGTACTAAGGAGTGAAACAGAGCACCTGACTCTTTTATGCACCCAGCTATTGACTTTATTTCCTCATCTTCTTCACCTTCTGAAATGTCTCCATATGTGTCCTAACATGGGAAAACTACCAAAGAGTTTACCTAAGATTTCTGTATCATTAACACAACTGACCACAGGACTCTCTTTGCTTAGCTGATATCAATTCTTCAATCTCTTTTCTCTTTGTTCATTGAAAATGACGGAAGAATATGCCATGCCCTTTCAAGACTTTGACTTGTGAGTTATAGTGTGTGTGTGTGTGTGTGTCTACAATCTACCTTGTACAGTATTTAATTACATACTTACTATATCCCCCCCCCCCCAATCCCCACCAGTAGAACTTAAGCACTAAAGGTGGGAAAGTTTCTCTTTTTGTCTTTATAATCTCAGAGCTCAACACAGTGGCTACCACATAGTTCAGCAAGGAAGGAAGAATATAGTAAAAATGTCACCCACCACCACCAACCACCTAGAGAAGAAGTTACTACAAAAATACCAAGATTCTATTTTATTTAAGCTCTCCTTCATTTTTAACAGAACTGAACAATAATACAACAGTAAAATTGTGTATTTAACATTACCAAGATATTGAAGGAACTATGATAATATTATTATAATTCAGGTTTAACCATGTAACTCCTCTTTTCAAAATCTTTGAACAGATGCCCATTATTTATGGGTTAAAAACCAAACTCCTTACCCAATTATTTAATGTACTTCTCAATCTAGTGTCCACAATCCTTGTCTTTTTTGAGTTTTTTTTTCAATTAACAAAAATCTATTCTCTCCTCCCGGAACACACACACACACAGTGAAAGAGACGAAGAAGACGAAGAAGACGAAGAAGACGAAGAAGACAAAGAAGAAGAAGGAGAAGAAGAAGAAGAAGAAGAAGAAGAAGAAGAAGAAGAAGAAGAAG